TCCTCACCAGCCCCTCACCTGCTCAGTCAGAGAAGAGGGACAGAGGATGTTGAGAATCATAGTAAAGCAAGGAAAGAGCGTGGCCAAGCATGTTCCTCTCACCCCGACACCGAGCACACAGTAGGTGCTCAAGACAAACAGGCTCACTGACTGGCCAGTGAATGCATTATTATTTTTTCTCTTCATTCATCTTTTAATCACACAAGATGACCCTGAACAAAAATACATAAACGCACAAAGGAGCCACAGCCCACTGACCTACCTTGGGGATACAGTTCCCATCAAAATGGGACACACAAACGAAAGAGTTCTCCCCAGGGCATGTTATTCAAGTCTCAAAATAAGACACATCTCTCATTTCAAGGTCCATTTACTTTTGGGAGGTAGGACAGAAATTTTGTAAGAGGAACAAATGAACAAGCTGCTGTGTGGAAAGAGGAACCAAAATAAGCGGCGACTTGCCGGCTGCCGACGTGGATGTCCTCACGTCCTGCGGCCTTATTTTTGGTTCCATTCCAGTTTGTTTTCTTCCCTGGCGCTTTATTTTTTTCATTTTTATTTTTCTTAACCCTCACCCAAGGATACGTATTTCAGAGAGAAGAAGGGGGAGAGACAGAGCGAGAGAAACATCAATGTGAGACAGAAACATCAATTGGTTGCTTCCCTTCCGCACCCCTTTGGGTGCCGGGACGACGCTCTAACTAACTGAGCCACTGGCCGGGGCTCTTCCCTGGCGCTTTAACGGGTGACAGGTAGGTTATAAAGAGAGGCCCAAGAAAATCAGTCAGTTCGTCCTGTGTCCCGGTACTTACTCACATTACCCCCCTCACTGAATCCCATGGCATCCTTATGAGGTGAGTGCTCTCAATAGCCCCACTGTACAGCTGAGAAAACTGAGGTAAGGCAGGCAAGCCAGCCTTGCTCAAAGTGTCCCATCAGCAAGAGGCTGAGCCAAGATGTGAACTGAGAAGTGGAGCCCAGAGCTTGGCTTTGAGCCACCCTGCTCTGTGGGCTAAGGACATGTGGCAACCCCCAGTCTCTGTCTCAGGTGAAGCAGATCTGATCCTCAAGTGGCTACAGCGCCCTGGGACTCAGGATGTGCCTGTGTTTCCCTGGGCTTAGTGGCAGCTCTAGAAACTGGACATAGGAAAGAAGCAGCAGGAAGAAGACATGAGGTGTGTGTTCCTAACAAGATCCCTTCCCTGCTGCCTGCCTGCCCGAAGTGAGCCCTTAGCAAGTAAGAAGAGATGGAGGGGGCCAGCCAAAGCAGCAAACTCAGCTCGGTCATCCCCAACCCAGTCCCCAAACCCAGATCTCTCCAGGGCAGGACAGAGGGAAAAGAGCAGAGCCTGAGCATGGACATACAGTGAGACCAAACCTGGGACAAATCCCTTTCACCAGGCCCGGGCATGTAACCTTGGAGAAGATCATTAACCTCTCTGAGTTTCAGTTTCCTTATGTGCAAAATGGGAAAATAATTCCTAGCTGAGGACTGAGTTCATGTTTGTCAGAGGCTTGTCAGAGTGCCCAGAACATACTAGAACCAGAATAAATATTAGCTGTTATTAGTAATACACTATCAAATACACTAGGACAATTATTACACACAAAAGGAAGTAAATACTACACTATATACTGTATACTATACTATATAATAGGCAACCATATATTACCAATACGAAAGCAAACGTGGTGTGGGTTACGCTGTGGGAAGGACAGGGCAGGGTCATGGCCTTCACTGTTTTTATCTCCCTAAGTGCCAGCCGCAGCCCAGCCCTCTGTCCTGGGCAGTGTGCGCAGGAGAACCCGAGGACTTCACTTTCCTGCATCTCACCTCAAAGCTCGACCAGTAAAGGCAACGCCTTTGCATTTCCCGAGAGGAGGGCTGCACCCGAGAAATGCCCCATTTAATGAGATTACTCCTACTTTATATGCCGTACCTCATGGGAATGTTCATCTTATCTATGGCAGCTCCCGGTACAATAATTGTCTCACACTGTAATAGCCCATGTATTAAATCAGACAGCGGACCGCCCTGAAATGTCATTATACTGAATTCCCTCCCATAACAGGCAGGCCAGGTCTGGACCTCACCCAAGGGGCTTGGTTACCAACGAACTAAAAGTGTGCCGTTAAAGGTGTTTTCTCCTCCATGAGGAGAAAGGTTAGCTGATTATTATTATTATTTCAGAGCCCAAAAGGTCATTGGTCTATGTTTCGGCTCAACAGCACGTATGCTTCCTACCACACTACATACTACACCGATTTATTAGGTTCCTATTTTCCTGTTCTGCCCCGACTGCTGTCAAAGGGTAGGATGCTGTCTATGTTATTCATTGCTGTTTCCTAATCATCTGGAAGAGTGTCAGGCACATAGTAGGTGCTTAATAAATATGGTTCAATTATGAACAAACCGAAGCACATTTCAGAGCATTTTTTTTGAAGAGCAACCACAAGTGACGCAAAATGCATCTCATTTTCTTCCCTTTCCTTTCTCTTCCCCTTCTTCTGTTTGCTCTGATAGATTTTCACTAGATCAGAATACACTTCCAAAAATCAGGACTAAACCATCCACAAGAAGGCATGGATTCTCAAAACATCCCAGTTCTCCTGACAGTAAGACGCTCTAGGGCCCATTTCACTCACGAGGGGGCGGCTGGGCTCCATGCCCTCACCCAGGCGAGCCCTGCAGGCTGCAGAGGGGCTTCTCTGCCACAGTCATGAGGGACCTCAATCATCTAGAACCACAAGGGACCGGGACAGGGTGGATCCTCACGTAAAATTCAGATTCATGAAGTATGACGACTGCAAAGTAATTCAGTCCAAACCTCCTGTTTTTCAGATGGGAAAACTGAGGGTCCATAAAAGGAAAGTGGATGTTCAAGTGCAGGGTTATCAGAGCACAGCCAAGAAGTGAAGGCACATTCCTTTTCCCCTTCTGTCCTTCCTCCCTCCTTCCTTCCTTCCTTCTCACTCTCTCCCCTTCCCCCTTCCCCTTCCTCTCTCTGCCTTCTCTCCAGTCCTTCATTCCTTGTCTCTTTATTTAAGGTTTTGTGAGTGTGAGTGTGTGTGTGTGTGTACTCTTTGCAATGGGGTGATTTAGAATGTGCCTGGTTAGCAGCCCATACGTAATTTTGACTCAGAAACGTTGGTGAATTAATTTCACTAACTTCCTTGTCTTCCCCAACAACCTAGATCCCATATTTCTCCAAAATTCCCATCACTAATACAACCTCTACTTGACAGTTGAAAAACTAGCCAAGTGACAAAAAGTGAGCCCCCGGGTCGCACAGCCAGTTAGAGGCTAAGCTGAGGCATCCGGGACCTCTGGCTGCAGGGCACGTTTGGCTCGTCCTGAAGGCACCGCTCGGGTCTGGGTGCCACGCAGGTTTCATTGTGCTGGGTGGAAACCCAGTCTGAGCAAGCACATCTCCAATCAAGCATGAGAAAGCTCTTCGGTTGAGCAAATTCGTACACTTCTAATGAGAATACGTGGAAAATAGAATCCTGATAGGAGACACACACATGTGTATATGATTACCAATATTCAAGTCCTTCCAGGAACCTGGAACTCTCTACACAAATGGAATTGTACAAATACGGGGATGGATGAGCATGTTTATCAGACCGCTGTTTACAGTGCAAAAAGAAAACATTCGGGCGGTCCGTCATTAGGGCTATGGCTAAATACACTGTGGTACAACACTGTATGGAATTGCGTGCTGAAGGGCTGTCCAGCATTTATTAGTTAGCAAGGACACCAAATTGCAGTGCAATGTGATTGACGCAATTATCTTGTACAAAGACCACCACCTATAAAACACTGTCATCTGTGAACATTCATGCTTGCTGTAGTGGAGTGAGGTAAGGGAAGGTTGTGGAGGCCCGTTAACACTGAGCAGCCCAGACAGTGGGCAGTGATGCATGCAGGGGGCAGAGATGATTAATATTTTCTTTATGTATACATCTTTGAATGTTTATACTATTATTTATACACACACATATATATATGTATATAATTTTGAAATAAATCAGATTAAGGGAAAATTTTCTGAGAATAGACAGATGGAACCTACAAATAGTCCCCCAAGTCCTGTTTCAGCCTCTCTTCCCCCCCTGTACACCCCTGACAGCAGAAAGTTGAGAAAAGTATTCAGTGCAGCAAAGAGAACCCCGAAGCTGTCTCTAAGCCCTGCCACAGTCATTCTCTGGACTGGTTACTGTTCCCCCAAACTGCCCTAGTCCTGATGCAGGAGGTGACATGTAAAGCAGAAACAGAAGGTCACATGTAGAACAGAGACAGGAAGAGAGATGTAAAGACAGGAGGTGAGATGTAGAGATAGGAGGCGAGATGTAGAGCAGAGACAGGAGGTGGCATGTAGACCAGAGATAGGAGGTGACAGGTAGAACAGAAACAGGAGGTGGCATGTAGAACAGAGACAGGAGGTGAGAGGTGAACACAGGCCCAGCAAAAGCTCTTCCTTTAACACTGGAAAGGAGCTCAGTCTTCAAGGTGAGGGGTGACTCAAGATGGTTTACCTTATCCTGCCCCACAAAGGAACTCATCACTATAAATAAATCATGCAGGACCCACTCTTCATAAAACTAAGAAGCATCTAGAAGCTAACTTTAGCAGGCAGGCCTTCTGGACACCTGAACCAGCTACTTGGAAAGTTGGCCTTGTCCCCGTGGGTTTATTTGTCTAGTAGTGACTCCAAGTTGAATAAAGAGTGACAGACCCATGAATGCAGAGCTCCTGGCTGTGACAGCGATGGCCACTTTGCTTCCACAATGACCAAACTGCATTATATGAAGCACTAACTGTGCAAATCCTGTGGTCTGGTGCTCCAAAGAGAACTGTCACCATCAGCTCCTAAGACTCCAGGAATTATTCATTAACACACAAAACTCTGAAACAGCCCAGCCCCGGAACCACCTGGATCTGTATTTCAGCCACGGCTCAGGAGCCAGTAGGAAGAAAGGAAGCGAGACTGACTTACCAAGCCAACTTCTGTTTAAGTACACAGACACAAACACTGGGGGGACCGTGAAGAAATCCACGACAGAGTTCACTTCCAGCCAGAACCACAGCTTGTCGTTGGCTGCAATAAACTGGGGGAAAGAAAAAAGAAAAAAAATGAGAAGAGTGCTGCCAGCATTCACCATATACTCTTGCCAAAGGTTACGTTTGGGTTTTCCATGGGGGTCTGGAGGAAGATGTTATGTTCTTCTCAGATCTACCCCAATTACACGCTCTTTTTGTCTTAGAATTCAGATAGCCTTTTCTAAAGAATGGTTATATGCCATGTTAGCCTTGGAGAAAGCTCAGGCAGTATATTTTTCCGTGGTTTTCAACTGCATCAGAGGGAAGGTTGAGCGATCTCACCTTCATTAGACTCTCTAAAGTAAATATACCTGTAAATAAAGGATATATGGAGGCATCATTCACACACACACACACACACACACACACACACACACACACACACACCCTCTGCTCAGCTCCTGTCATAAACAGGGTGCAGTACAACACCCCAAGCCCCAAATTCTGCTGCCCTACCCCCCGATCCCTCTGTTCGCTCAGGGTTCAGCTAAGTGAGCACTGATAAACATAAATTTAAAGGCAGAAAGCACATTTTTTAGTTCTATTTAAGGAAACAAAGCCCTCCTGTTTGAATAGAGGGAAGAGAAGCAGTGGGCCAGTGGAGGAATGATAGTTATTTCAATCCCCGCTCCTCCCCGTGAACACAAGTAACATGGACTTCGGAAAACGCTGCCCTGAGGACCAGGCACTCCCCGGGGCTGAAAGCCCGAGGGCAGCCTGTTATCGCCCCGGGAACCCTGGGCTCCGTCTGCCTGCAGCAGAGCAGGCGCTGCCCCAGGACGGCCCCGGGTACAGGCTCGGACGCCCCAGGAACGCCCAGCAGAGCTGCTCAAACTTACCCGCAAGCCAAAGTAGAGCAGGAAGAACACGTTGAAAGCCATGTCGATCTGTAATGTGAAATCTTTGTAGAAATTCTGGCAGGATTCTATTGGGCTATTAGACGGAAGAAAAAAAAGCAGGGGGTAAATGAAAAGCGTCACCCGGTCTCCCACCTGCTGCGCAGCGGCGGTGCTGGGGCAGAGGGCACCATGAATGTGCCGAAAAGGAAACCCTTGGTCCTTCTACCCCCTGTAATGATCAAGCAAGCAGTGCCAAGGGGTCTATCCATTCAACCATCCAGTCTTTTCTTCTTGTATTTGTTTTTGTAATTTTACATATTTGTTACTTTTATCATCATTCAACAGTTGAGCTAAAAATCTAAAGAAGATCATGCAGACACCTCGGAGGAAGGACAAGCAAGAGACACTACCAAATTCCTTAATTTCACATTAACCCTTAAAGGACTGACTTCTTTCTTTTAGAGGACACGTCCCAAAGCTGAAAACAGTCCCTCACACCCTCCAGCACGTTGGAAGAGGAGCCCATTTCCAATCAAACACAGTGGCTATGTTTTGAACCCTTTTAAAGCCATCAGTTGATTAATAGGAAAGGACCCAGGAGCGTCTCAGGAAAGCTGCGGAGGTGAGGGTCCTGGTTGATGTTCTGCCGAGACTACGTCTGAACTTCATGTGCAGCGTTCTGATCCGGGGGAAGAAGCATTGCCCAACTGGTAAAAGGCAAGACCATTAAACCAAAACGTTGAAGCAGTACTCTAAGGGTTAATTTTATTGTTTTCTTTGGCATGCAGGTTAACTGGCGTTGTGTGTCTCAAGCAGCCAATGCGAACCCCCAGCACACTCTACTTTGTTCAAGAGTAGGCAGATCAAAGGGTACTACTATACAAACTGGTACACGGCTTCGGAGTGCTTTCCCGCGTCAGGCTGATCAGGGGATCAGCATGTGAAAAGTCCCAAGTTTGGGGCTGGGTGGGAAGCAGAAAAGCCTCATAAGCATCTCAAAGCTGTGAATGAAAATTCATAGTAGATTGTTATCAGTAAGCAAATGGTAACACTCAGGCCAGGAACATAAAGAAGGTGAGGTGAGCAAAAGGGGGGAGTGTGGGGAGAAGTAAAATACTCTCCCCAGATGGAAAGCAACATGGGCCTCCAGGCCAGGAGAGGGCGAGCTTGAGAAGTGCGGGATGGAGGATTTCCGAGTAGTGCCACTTTGGAAATCGCTGTATGCAATACCAGTTAGTATAGTTGTACTTCTGTGAGGACAGTGCTTAGTTGTTCAACAGGCAGGGATCTGTGCAGTATTTGAATGCAAGGTCCACCTAGAGCCACAGTGGGTCAGTCTGTGGGGCTCTCCAATCATATTACATGCACTGGATTTACCCATTCTTATCTCTATCACAGGTCAAACATGCCCTTTTTGTCATCTCCCAAATCACAAATATGAGGAAAGAGCTCCAGAGAAGCATTAAGGGTAATCTACATTTGCATTTACAAACTAAGCAGGCTGAACAAAAAACAAACACTAAAAAAACGGTTCTTTTATAAAGGAAATGACAACTGCTAGGTTTTCACTCAGGTAGGGAAGTTGGAGGAAAGACAGCATGAATTTGCTTAATCTGTTACTTAAAGGAGATAGGAGAGAAAGCTAAACATCACAGCCTACCCCTGCTCTTTGCCTGCTGTCCTACACAGGTATTAATTTAAACGGAAAAAGGAAAATCCAGACCTAAAGTTAATAAGTGACACTTCTGCAATTCCTAAGCCGTGATGGCATTTTGTTTGGTTTCAAGAACAAGACCCACACGGTTTACAGGTGCCAGAGTTCTGAGCTGCTCTCGCTGCAGTGGAACAAAGCACATGAGCCAGGTTAACCAGAAATCTCCTACAGATCCCAAGGGAAAAAGAGACCATGTTTCTCTATGCTGTATGAGCCACTGGTATGATGTGCTCCTGAAAAATGAAGGGCTGTGTGCGTGTGTGTGTAAGAGCGTGAGGCCTGCTAAATACTGCACTCAGGTCTTCACGTGTGCCCGTAGACTTAGCTGTGCATTATACATTCATATTCATCAAGATTGATGTGTGTGCAGTTAAGGGGACAGAGAGGAAATCTTGGTTCCTAAGTCTATTATGGAAAACCCACTGTCACTTCACCAAGGCCAAATTATAAGCTTACTGTTGCCCTCACAGTAGTTATTAGTGGAGTCACTGAAGGCGTATTTGGGGGTCCTGTGAGTTCCCTGGCTCCTATTAATTCCACGGCCTCTGAGGTTAATTTGGGAGTTACCTTGAGATACATCTCGTGGGGAAAGTATCTGCTAGGCTGTAGAAGAAGACAGCAGGGTGGGAAGAGATGTCAGCTCAGTGCCAGAGGATGTTTTGGTTCAATAGAAATAGAATCAGATATTCAAAAATTATAAGGAATCAGGCTGTAGCAACTTCTTTCCATTGCTCTGTGCCCTCCTTGCCGTTTCTGCTGCTCCTTCCTACCTGCCCATCCCCACGGGCAACAACGGGAGGGCTGATGCCAAAGGACACGGTGTTGAAAAATATACCTCCGCAGCACCGTGATTTACAGAGAACAACGTTGAAACCATAATAGACCTTTTTTTCTATCAGATTTAGAGCTGATTTAATCATTGTTTCATATCATTCCTCGAGTCCTAGACTTGGAGCTGAAATAATAAAGGGAGTAAATTATGCTGCTGGTGCTGGCAGCTCTTCCTCGGCTAGAGCTCACCAATAAATGAGCACACTGCTGAGACGAAGGAGCCAGAGAGGAGCAGGAAATCCAGGGACAGAAGAGGGCCAGCCCCTGAGGCCCAGGTAGGACCAGAGTAACCAGGGAGTCAGTGTTCCACCCCTTTTAGCTCTTTAACTTGCCAGAGAGCCCAAGGAGAAATGAACTGCTGAATTTTCTCAAGTGACAACAGAACTGTTGGTCGGGACCCCTCCGAGATCAATCCTCCCAGAGCCTTTGGTCCATGGACTTGCACAATCAGAGACCACCGAGGGGAAGTTCTAAATTCCCCAGATGGAAACGACCCATTGATCTTCTAAAAAGAAAATATGTAATTCAACAAGCAAAAGGGCTGGTCATATCAGCCAGGAGATTTTATCTTAATGATTAATGCTCACTGTAGGATGGGAAAATGGAACACAAACTCCCCTTCCTTCTTGTGTAAAGCAGGAGAGTTCCTTTTCTAGATACACAGAAATCTCAAGAGCTAGGGGGGAAAAAGTCACTTTTTTAACTATGAAGGAAAATGACTCTGAATTACACACTCAAATTTAAATTGCCATCCTGATGAGCATGCCCACAGCAGAATACGCTTTTATGGACATTTGTTGCCAATTAAAAAAAAAAAAAAAAGTGGAGTTTTAAGAATTGAGTACGGACACTAGTTCTAATCCTGGCAGAAGAAAACTGACTTTCCCTAAATTGTTCTTGGTTGATTACTGACTTGGTAATTAGAGGACGCAAGATGCTGGGTAAGCTGATGAACGCTTCATTCCCAGGCTCCCAGAGTCCATGGGTCAAGACTGATACTAAAACCTTAGGCAAATGTCATGTTTTGACCAGGACGCTATGGTTGGGGCACCTTCAAAAGAACCTCAATAAAGATCTGCTCCCTATGAGATAAATGTTCAGTGTTAGATAGAGGTTGAAATACAAACTCCTATTTCCTCCAAACCATCAAGTAAGCATATCTCAGTATTGAGCTCTCTCTATAGAGGAAAGTAAGATTCACGAAAAGTGGGTAATATATGTCTTTCTTCATCAACTTAACAACATAATATCTAAGGAAGACCCGTGTGTGGGAAAATCCAACAGTCTTTCCTGAAAACGGACTTAAGCCCGTGTTTTTCCAAAGGACCAGGCAAGCCACAGCTCCCTACGTCTTCTTTCAAAGGGCAAAGGGCCAAAGACAAAAACTTCACTTCCAGCAGTTAATCCTCTGGACATCTGTGTCATCTCCAAGAGGTAAGTAACTGCCCTCCCTCCTCAGCCTCTAAACGTCCCTGGGGTCTTCTGAAGTCTGTTTCCCCTCCCTGAATCCGGCCCTCCAACCCTGTGCAGACATTTCCTGGGACAGTGGTTCTCAGACGTTAGCACCTGGGGGTCTGGTTAAAACGGTTTCTGATTTAGTTGGTCTGGGAGAGGGTCCCGAGAACTTGCATTCTGAATGATTTCCCAGCTGCCGCTGCTCATCTGGGGACAGCACTTTGCAAACCACTGCTCCAGACCTTCCTTGCAACTACACACTAATTTCAGGTGTTGCTGCTTGAGAAGATCTCCACTCGCGCCTGAACGGAGGTGATCATCGGTGGAGACCGCCCCAGATAACCAGCTGCGTGCCACTTCACTAACTGCTGAGACCGAGGGGCTGCACAGACACTGTCAGTTGCAGATGGGGACACGGGGGGAAAGCAAGACGACACAGGGAAGTAATTACAACAGTGCTACCCAGGCTTCACCCATGACAGTCCAATTACTAGCCAGAGCGTGCGGGGCAGCACGCTCCTAGTGTCATATTTAAAGGGAAACGGTGAAGGGAGAGGCTCTGGAGACCATCCTTTGTAAGAGATAAAGACATGTCAAGCAGCTTAGGCACAACAGCAACAGCCAACCTCCGAGATGATTTAATACATAACCACAAGAGAGGGAAGGGACTAGCTGAGGAACAAAACAGCCTTTTCCGCAATAATTTCCAATATTTAAATTCTCCTCACTCGCGTGGCTAGCCCCTTTTTAAATTGGATGGCGCCTGTTCAATTCCCACCAGGATAATGGACCACCAGAGCTCAGGCCTACAGCGCCACAGGCATGAATCAATACAAAGAGCTTAACGATTCCGGACTCCTCTCCTAGGCTCACCTCTGCAATTTGCCAGATTAATCTAATTAAAAGATGTCATTCATCCGCCATCATAGCTCCCTGCTGCCTCGTACATCTACCCTAAGCCTGGCTGAGAAGACGCTCTAAAACCCGGCCTCTCTCTGCATCTCCCATTTTATTTTCTGCTATGCTCCGGCCAAGCCCTTTGCTCCCACAAGCTGGGGCCTTCATTATTTCATGAGTGTGACCCACAAGATCCT